AATAGCGTCTTTCTTCCATTGTTTAGCATTAAGTTTATCAAATCAATGAATAACTATTTTACATGCTTACATACACTGACATTTTTTTATTTAGCATAAAATTCGGATTTTTTTATATTTCTTGTATTCATAAAAATTGTTTTTAGAAAGATATCAAATTTCACAAAATTTATTCAATTGCATTTGTTTACATTTTTGTGATAGAATTTATTTCATCCTCCGTTGAATGACATAAACGAGAAGGAGAACTGTTGTTATTAGCGCTGCCATATTGATTTTTTCTTTTGACACTACAACGCTTTACTATTACACCTTTTAGCCGTTATTTATTTTAAAATATTCCTTTTTTATTGGACAAATATTTTACGTAGATACATCAATAATTTTACCTTTTATGAGTTCCTGCAGAACTTTAATATTCACTTTACCAACAAAGCTATTTCTCACTATACCAAAGAATAAACCACTATACGTTATTAAACAAAGGGATATGGTAACTATAGATTCAATCTGGTAACTTTAGTCAAAAGCGCAAACAGCTGCATATGTTTACATTTTTGGCGCTAAAAATGCAACAGTTTTCTTATTTTTTTACGATAGATTGTATGTAGTAAATATTTGTTTTTAATTTTAAATAGTGATAATATTAATATTAATGTCTAAAAACGTGCGTACGCGAGATTGGAATATTGGTAATGAGCAGCATGTAAATAAAAAACAAAAATGTGCGGCTAATAACCAAAACAGCAACAATAAATCTATACTGGAACCCAGTGAAAGTATATTATGGCCAGAGACAGAGGATAGTTTTTTTACTGATTCAAAATTAGGCAAAATCTTAGAATCGCATAATGAGAATAATCCCACAAATGGACCGGTTAACAGTCACAAATTCTATGATGATCATTCTGATGATAGTTTATTTACCGACATTGTACTCGACAATGAATCCTTGAGTAGTGGTGGTGAAAATGTAGGTGCTACACCTATGGTACAAATATTACCTAATACAGATATAGCTGGAGATGATACTTTGTTTTCGGAAATAAATTTAGAAGAAATTGTGGCTCCGGAATGTGCTAAAATTTCCGGAAATGATGAAATAATACCAACGCATAGTAATAAAACTCCACTTGTAAGTAAAACACAAGACGTCATTGAGGATTTATTCAAAGATGATTTCCCGCTTGATGAGGTGGATCAATGTACGCAAAAATTTCTTAATGATGTGGCCTTTAAGTTTCCGGCTGCCAATGAAACACAAAAAATTTATAAATTACCCCTAAATGGTTGTATACAGGGTACCCAGTACGAGACACGTGAAGAGATTCAAAATCGTACCATGAATCCATTGCAACAAACTTATGTAGCTGAAGTAAATCGTACTGAGTTGCATCAATTATCGAATATAAATTGGGATACTCAAATGTTCGAACATGAAGTTATTGAGGATTATCCATGTAAGGGAGATTTTTACGGTCTACCGGAGAAAGTTAAGAAAATGATATTTGATCACAAGGGCATACAGAGTTTATATGGTGAGTACTAGTGAAAATATTGTTCATATAAAATATTACTGCATCAATTTCAGTAATAGTTCAGCTCGAGTTTAGTTCTAGTTCAGTTTGTAGTTTCATGAATCGTGTAACGCTTTCTTAGCAGACTTCAAATTAACTAATTGTGAATCAAATTATTAATTTTAAGATTGTTATTTATCCTTTTATTTACATAGAGTGGCAAGATGAATGTCTTAATCTTCCAGCCATACGTCAGCGTAAAAATCTAATCTACGCTTTACCTACTAGTGGTGGTAAAACATTGGTAGCCGAAATCTTAATGTTGCGTGAGGTTATATGTCGTGAGAAAAATGTTCTCTTCATATTGCCCTATGTGTCAATAGTACAAGAAAAGGTCAGTGCCATGTCACCTTTTGCTATAGCTTTAGATTTCATAGTTGATGAATATACAGCCGGCAAGGGTAAATGTCCACCTGTGCCTCGTAAAAAACGTAAAAGTATTTATATTGCCTCAATAGAAAAGGGAGCTGTTTTACTGGATAGTTTAATCGATGCACAACGTGCCAATGAACTTGGCTTAGTGGTGGTGGATGAATTGCATTTGATTGGTGAAAAGGGTAGAGGTGCCTATTTGGAAGCACTACTAACAAAAATTATGTATTTGAATGGTAATTCTGAATTGGAAAGTAAGTTTTAAATAACTAATTAAAATGTTACCTTAACAGCTAAAATCCAAATTGTGGGCATGAGTGCCACCATTGGCAATCTTTCGGAAATATCTGAATTCTTAAAAGCTGACGTTTATACACGAGGCTTTCGTCCCGTAGAACTTAAAGAATACATTAAATGTGGTCGTGATATATTGGAAATAAATTTACAAGGAAAAACTTTAGAAGAAATATTTGTTTATAGTCGTAGTGTTAATTTTAATGTAAGTTTATTAATATTTTTCATGAGAATTTACATGAATTTAATTGATTTCGTGTTTTGTTTTCCAAACAGTATAGTGAAGCTGTACAAAAATCAGATCCAGATCATTTGGCTGGTTTGGTAACGGAGTGTGCTCCCAAAAATGGTTGTTTAATATTTTGTTCGTCGCGTAAAAATTGTGAAAATGTTGCTGTTTTATTAAGTCGTGTATTGCCGAAGTAAGTAAAACTAGTTCTAGAATCTAGATAGATATACAGATAGATAGATAGATAGATAGATAGATAGATAGATAGATAGATAGATAGATAGATAGATAGATAGATAGATAGATAGATAGATAGATAGATAGATAGATAGATAGATAGATAGATAGATAGATAGAGATAGATAGATAGATAGATAGATAGATAGATAGATAGATAGATAGATAGATAGATAGATATATAGATAGATAGATAGAGAGATAGATAGATAGATAGATAGATAGATAGATAGATAGATAGATAGATAGATAGATAGATAGATAGATAGATAGATAGATAGATAGATAGATAGATAGATAGATAGATAGATAGAGATAGATAGATAGATAGATAGATAGATAGATAGATAGATAGATAGATAGATAGATAGATAGATAGATAGATAGATAGATAGATAGATAGATAATAGATAAATAGATAGATAGATAGATAGATAGATAGATAGATAGATAGATAGATAGATAGATAGATAGATATACAGATAGATAGATAGATAGATAATAGATAGATAGATAGATAGAATAGATAGATAGATAGATAGATAGATAGATAGATAGATAGATAGATAGATAGATAGATAGATGTAGATAGATAGATAGATAGATAGATAGATAGATAGATAGATAGATAGATAGATAGATAGATAGATAGATAGATAGATAGATAGATAGATAGATAGATAGATAGATAGAGATAGATAGATAGATAGATAGATAGATAGATAGATAGATAGATAGATAGATAGATAGATAGATAGATAGATAGATAGATAGATAGATAGATAGATAGATAGATAGATAGATAGATAGATAGATAGATAGATAGGTAGATAGGATAGATAGATAGATGATAGATAGAGATAGATAGATAGATAGATAGATAGATAGATAGATAGATAGATAGATAGATAGATAGATAGATAGATAGATAGATACATAGATAGATAGATAGATAGATAGATAGATAGATAGATAGATAGATAGATAGATAGATAGATAGATAGATAGATAGATAGATAGATAGATAGATAGATAGATAGATAGATAGATAGATAGATAGATAGATAGATAGATAGATAGATAGATAGAGATAGATACAAGACTAACCCCTTTGTATATCTCAATTCTTTTCAGATCCAAATTCTTAGAATATCGTAAGAGTGAAAAAAACGATTTAATGGATGCCCTCGACAAAGTTTGTGGCATTTTGAGTCCCGTCCTAGCGCGTACCATACCCTATGGAGTGGCCTATCATCATTCGGGTCTCACTACCGATGAACGTAAATTTATTGAAACTGCCTATCGGTTCGGTGTATTGAGTGTTATATGTTGTACATCTACGTTGGCGGCAGGTGTCAATTTGCCAGCCAAGAGAGTTATTATACGAGCCCCATATGTGGGTGCAGAGTTTATGACGTTGTGCAAGTATAAGCAAATGATTGGTCGCGCTGGGCGTGCTGGTATGGGTGAGGCGGGCGAGAGTATTTTGATAAGTTCGAGTCGTGACAATGTTCGTGTCGGCGAGATGTTATTTTCACCCATGGACAAGGCAATTAGTTCGTTAGACCATCAGGGTAGAGTGGGTTTACAGGTGGGTAGAAGTTGAAAGTTCATTTGTGTTTTTAAACGAATAATTTTCTTCATTCTTTCACACATTTTCAAGGCCCTGATTCTTAGTGCAATTGGTTTGGGTTTGGCATCATGCCGGGCCGACTTACATCGTCTAGTGCAAGGCACTCTGCTGGCTGTGCAATCAACACAGCTTGGCATATCTGTAGAGACAATGGTCAAGGAAATTTTACGTGAAATGTTTAAAAATAAAGTCTTGCAGATGTCAAATAACGATGCCAAAAAAGATGTTTCCGATATTTTAATAACACAAGATCTACAAAATAAAACAAACAGTGCAATACCAGAGCGTACCATTAAATTACATAGCAATACACGTTTTCAATTGACCACAATTGGAAAAGCGGCCTTTAAGGCTGGCATAGATTATCGTCGAGCCTATGCTATCCACAATGAATTGGCTTCAGCACAAAAACAATTGATACTCACTAACTATGGCCATCTGCTGTACTTGGTGGTCTCTTTCAATTCAAATGCTGTGGGCGATGAATTATTTCCAGCCGACGCTGCCATACTATTTCGAGCCTACGAAAAATTGGACGAAGCCACACACACTCTTTTTAAACAAATGGGTTTTACTGAGGCACATGCGGCTAAAATTGCTAAAAATATGTCCATACAGGGTCCTATGGAATTGAAACTAAATCGTTTATATAAAGTTCTAATTCTAATGGATCTAATAAATGTTGAACCTTTACCGGGAGTATCGGCTAAATATAATATCGAACGTGGCCAATTGCAAAATCTAATGAGTCAAGCCACGGCGGCCGCCAGTGCCATAGTACGTTTGTGTGAACAAATTGAAGAGTTCTGGTGTTTTAAGCCACTTTTTGAACGTATTGGCAGAAAAATGGATCGTTGCGGTACCTTGGAATTGGAACCGTTGTTGGAGTTGCCGGCTGTGAAAATTGTGAGTATTAAATTTGAATTAAGGGTACTATGATGTCGATGAATATAGGGGAGGGAGTTTACTGAAAATACTCTACAAATTCAGAAGGAATTCAAAGTGTTCTATACAGAGAGAGAGATGGAGACTTTTGAACTTTTTCAGCACTTTTTTATATCGAAAATATAGCTGTATCCTTACGACATTTTAGGTACTTTTTCTAACTTATATAGTTCATAGTCTAGTCTAGATGTAGTCTAGTCTATAGATTATAGATTATCGAAATATATCGGTACCCAGACGAGATTTTCCGTTATTTTTCTAACTCACAAAGTTTTAATAAATAGTTCACATAGAAATCTATAGATCGGTTTATAGTCTAGTCTATAGCCTAACCTATATTCTAGTCTATAGTCTGGTCTATAGTCTAGTCTATAGTCTAGTCTATAGTCTAGTCTATAGTCTAGTCTATAGTCTAGTCTATAGTCTAGTCTATAGTAGTCTATAGTCTATAGTCTAGTCTAGTCTATAGTCTAGTCTATAGTCTAGTCTATAGTCTAGTCTATAGTCTAGTCTATAGTCTAGTCTATAGTCTAGTCTATAGTCTAGTCTATAGTCTAGTCTATAGTCTAGTCTATAGTCTAGTCTATAGTCTAGTCTATAGTCTAGTCTATAGTCTAGTCTATAGTCTAGTCTATAGTCTAGTCTATAGTCTAGTCTATAGTCTAGTCTATAGTCTAGTCTATAGTCTAGTCTATAGTCTAGTCTATAGTCTAGTCTATAGTCTAGTCTATAGTCTAGTCTATAGTCTAGTCTATAGTCTAGTCTATAGTCTAGTCTATAGTCTAGTCTATAGTCTAGTCTATAGTCTAGTCTATAGTCTAGTCTATAGTCTAGTCTAGTCTATAATCTAGTCTAGTCTTAAGTCTAGTCCAGTCTATAGTCTTGTCTATAGTCTAGTCTATAGTCTAGTCTATAGTCTAGTCTATAATCTAGTCTATAGTCTAGTCTATAGTCTAGTCTATAGTCTAGTCTATAGTCTAGTCTATAGTCTAGTCTATAGTCTAGTCTAGTCTATAGTCTAGTCTATAGTCTAGTCTAGTCTATAGTCTAGTCTATAGTCTAGTCTATAGTCTAGTCTATAGTCTAGTCTATAGTCTAGTCTATAGTCTATATTCTAGTCTAGTCTATAGTCTAGTCTATAGTCTAGTCTATAGTCTAGTCTATAGTCTAGTCTATAGTCTAGTCTATAGTCTAGTCTAGTCTATAGTCTAGTCTGTAGTCTAGTCTATAGTCTAGTCTAGTCTATAGTCTAGTCTAGTCTATAGTCTAGTCTATAGTCTAGTCTATAGTCTAGTCTATAGTCTAGTCTATAGTCTAGTCTATAGTCTAGTCTATAGTCTAGTCTATAGTCTAGTCTATAGTCTAGTCTATAGTCTAGTCTATAGTCTAGTCTATAGTCTAGTCTATAGTCTAGTCTATAGTCTAGTCTATAGTCTAGTCTATAGTCTAGTCTATAGTCTAGTCTATAGTCTAGTCTATAGTCTAGTCTATAGTCTAGTCTATAGTCTAGTCTATAGTCTAGTCTATAGTCTAGTCTATAGTCTAGTCTATAGTCTAGTCTATAGTCTAGTCTATAGTCTAGTCTAGTCTATAGTCTAGTCTATAGTCTAGTCTATAGTCTAGTCTAGTCTATAGTCTAGTCTATAGTCTATAGTCTAGTCTATAGTCTAGTCTATAGTCTGGTCTATAGTCTAGTCTATAGTCTGGTCTATAGTCTAGTCTATAGTCTGGTCTATAGTCTGGTCTATAGTCTAGTCTATAGTCTGGTCTATAGTCTAGTCTATAGTCTATAGTATAGTCTAGTCTATAGTCTAGTCTAAAGTGGAGGTCTAGTCAATAGCTTAGTCTATGGCCTAGTCTATGATCTAGTCTATTTTCTAGACTATGGACTAGTCTTTAGTCTAGTATATACCCGAGTCTATAGTCTAGTCTATAACCTAGTCTATAGTCTAATGTCTATAGTATAGTCAATAATATTGTCTGTACTCTAGTCTATATATAGTGTATTCCAGAGTCTAGTCTATGGGCAGTCCATGACCTAGCGGAAAATTAGTTTAGTACTTTAAACCCAAAAGGTACAAGTACTATTTCAAAATTTCGATTTCCTTAAAGAATTCCGATAGTAATCATAAGGAATTAATAAAAAATGTGTTTTAAATATATATGTTTTGCAAACAAATAGTTAGTAAAAATGGGGAGATTTATCGGGAAATTTGAACCGAGTAAAAGAAGTAATTAATATGTAGTGTAAAAGTGAAAATTTTAAAAATTGTCGATCTAATAAAGGAAATTAATAAGAAAAACTAGACATTTGAAAGTGGATATAAACAAATTAACAGGCAGTTACTACAATCAAGACTTAACTATAAAATCATATAATGCAACTATTAGCTACAATACTTTGTAAAAAATTGAACTAAATATCAAGGAACAAAGGTAAAACCTGGACTCAAAAAAGAGAAATATTAAAAAAGTAGTTCTATAAAATATTAAAACAGAGGGAAACAATAATTATGCTGCACTTTTAGAATCGCGCCAAACAGTTGTATGCAGCTGGTTTTAAAACCGTAGAGGATATTGCCAAAATAAGACCCATAGATTTGGTAAAATCTGTTGAACATATGCCCATGAAAATAGCCAAAGAAATAATATCGGCAGCAAAGGTAACAACAATTTATAATAGAACAATGATATGTTTTTTTGAATATTAATATTTTTTCTTTACAGATAATTCTAATGAAAAAACTAGATCATTTAGAAGAGGAGACAGAGGCCATTAAAGTCTGTTTAAGACCAGAAACCTAAACTGTGAAATGTTAATAATAATTTTGTTTTTTTTTTTTTTATTTAAAATGTATTATAGTTTCTCTTGTTGTAATTTATGGATTAAATTTAATTACATTGAAAATTTGAAGTCTTGTGATTGTTGTTTATTTTTTAGTTTTCTTTTTAAATTTTTGTGTCGGTATAGATTCTAATATCGCTATTAGATATCTGATAGTACTTCATCCAGTTCGCCACACTCGTAATTTGATATTTCAGCTTGAAGAATATTACATTCATTATTGCGTCTAAAAGATATTTTGGTGCCGAATTATTTAACGAACTCTATCCAATATTTCGGATCCATCTGTGTTAATATAAAAACATCCCGAATAATATACCGGAAACTTCTGTTAAAGGAAGGTTACAATAATCATTGACATTGAACATATGCTTGGTTTTCTAAAGATCTCTGATATCATGGGGATTATTTAATAATTTTATTAATCTTTCGAGAATTATTCTATTTAAAATCTTGAGGATTGTCTGAAAATCTAATAATCTTAAAATAAAGGTTTAACCTTTATTTTAATCGAAAATTTTAATTTTGAAATAGTACCAACTTATAACAAAAATAGTACTCTTTAGGTTTGAAAGTACTAAACTAATTTTAACTATAGACTAGGCGATATTGGCCTAGATGTGTTTCTTTTGATTTGATTTACCTATGTATATTAGACCGACTCACAAAAAAATGGTGCTTGAGTTAACAATACTGTTCAGTATATTTAATTAATTTCTTTAAATTGTTCACAGTTTTTAGAATTTGTATATCGATATCAATGCCAAACTTCAAAGATCGTTCGTTTAGATTGCAGCAATTATCAAAGATCAATGTATCCAATTTCAAACAATTGTCTGCTACTTTTCCAGCAATATAGTAGTTCGGTAAGATTTGTAAATTTTTGCAAAATTGCCAGGTCATTTCACGTTGATTATCCGCTAGAAGTTGCAATTTTTTAATACATATTATTAACATTATTAAATTTAATAATGTTTCGATAGTTTATATATGTATGTGGTTTGGATCTTAAACGTCTCTAAAATAAATAAAATTTAAATACGAGAATCAAGCTGATGGGCAAAATAATCGACAACGGCGTCACAACAGCTTTTGTTCGGCGGCTTGATGCAGAAAGTACCAGCGCTGGCTAAATTCTTGGATAAATTTACACTGTCATAATTTTCTCTTTAGGCAATTTGCTATATAATCGTTTGTTATATAGAAACACGCTTATTATATAAAAAATTTTATTCTATAATAATTTTCTATAGATAATTGACTTTGTAATTGTTTTTATACCTTTTCTATGGTAATTGTTTTTATACCTTTCACCTACATGAGAAGGGTGTAGTATATAAGTTTGTCATTCCGTTTGTAATTTCTAGTATATAAAATATATTCTGAGTCCTTATTAGAGTTCTATAGTTGAAACGAAAAGTCGACTTTTCGACTTTTGCATTTAGTTAAAAGTCGACTTTTTGACTTTTTGCATTTCATGAAAAGTCGATTTTATACTTTTTTTCATTTAATTAAAAGTCGACTTTTAGACTTTTAGTATTTTATAAACAGTCGACTTTTCGACTTTTCGATTTTTTTCAACTTTTTTAGACTTTTCGATTTTTTCCGGCTTTTTCCGACTTTTTTCAACTTTTTCCGACTTTTATCGACTTTTTGACTATTTACGACTTTTTAGAGTTTTTGACTATTTTCCACTTTTTTAAAATTTTCGACTATTCTCGACTTTTTTCTACTATTTTCGAGTTTTCGACTTTTTCCGACTTTTTTTTACGTTTTGACTTTTTACGACTTTCCGACGTTTCGACTTTTATTTACAAAGTCGACTTTTCGACTTTTTTCATAGACGATAGTCGAGTTATCGACTTTTTTGGAACAAAATAGTCGACTTCGACTTTTCGACTTTTTTCGACAAAAAGTCGATTGTTCGATTATTCGAAAGTAGATTTATAGAACCCTATTTATTACCTACAAATACATACATATATTTAAATTTTGCAAAAATAACCATCAAAAAGGTTTACAATTTTACATAATTATTGCAGTATAAAATATGGCTCCCAAAACTGTTTTATATAGGATTGGCAAATATCGTTTATTTGTTTCCTAGTTTCCACGCATTTATTCCGAATAGAGTTACAATCTGAAAAATATATGCAAATACTAAATAACATAGCAATATGTATTAATAGTTTATATTTACCTTTAATAATACCGCAAATATTTATACTTTTAATTCGTTTTGGATATTTTCTATTACTCAATGTTTTAGCTATAGATACCATTGTTACTTGATAACATGCTATAGATAATTTTCCATTCACATCTATTAAATCAAGCAAAAAGTCTAATATAAATTCCATTGCTTCCCAATGCAAACGTAGATATCGAAGATTTGTCCGAAAGGCTTTTAATTCAATTAACTCAAAAGGAATTTTTTCACAAGTATTCTTAATACCGATAATTGATATTTCTTGCAAATTTTTATGCTTAAGCAACCGCAACAAATCCGTTATTTCTATAGTTTGAAATTCTATTTGTTGCAAAGATTTCAGTTGTAAAAGATCTTCTGTAATAATCTTTTCTGCATTTATTTTCAGAACTTTTAAATTTTTGGCGAAATTTGCAAATCTTAACTTTCCATCATTTATGCTATTATTATGATAACGTAAGTCGGTTAAGTTCACTAGATTATTTGCATTAAACTTTAATAATAACTCTATAAGATTTTTGCCATCCAAATCAAATTCGAGTTTTTGCAATGATGATGAAATAAGAAAATTTTCCCAAATTCCTTTGTATTCAGTGCGTACAGATCGAAAACTTGTTAAATGCATTTCACTTAATATAGTTTTTAAATTTGTAGTTGTTAATCCTTCGCAAAATTCAATAGTTAGTTCGTTTAATATGGGCAATGCTATGAAATTGTTTATAATGAATTTCTTTATGCTTAAATGTATTAAACATTTGCAGTATATTAATATAAGGTAAAAGAAATCTTTCGTAATTGGAATACATTCACCAGAAAAGCTTAATGTTAAACTGCAAAGATTTTGCAAGTGTGGCAAGAAATTAGTTCGAAAGTACAAGAAATCGGAAAAATTTTGTAAACGGCTTATATTCAGTTCTTTATATGATTTTAAATTACTCAAATTTAAATCGATGTTATAACTTTCAGTATAAGAACAAATGTTTACCTCTAATGTTAAATGTTCCAACTTTAGTTGATTGATAATATTTGCAATGTTCGGGAATGAATAATCATCATCATAGCTCTCATTATGTATAAATACATTAATAATTAATTTCTTTAAATTGTTCATAGCTTTTAGAATTTCAATATCAATATCAATTCCAATTTTCAAAGATCGATCATTTAGATTGTAGCAATTTTCAAAGATCAATGTTTCCAATTTCAAACAATTCTCTGCTACTTGTTGTAAGTCGCTATTTTTCAATTTCAATTTCCAACAACTTAGTTCGCTAAGATTTGTAAATTTTTGCCCAAAAGGCAAGTCATACTTTATAATTCCAAATTTATCATGACGATCTTTATACACTAGCAGTTGCAATTTTTTTATATTATTTGCATTTAAATTTAAAAATTTTTTTGTGTTTTTACTTTTAAGAAAACTACTATTTCTACGCCATATATCATGTTCCAAATAGTTATTATAAACATTATAAAGTGTTATATGTTTAATAAATGTTTGTGTTGTATTCGACACTACAAATGTTATACGATTTATATCGTTTTCATTCAAAATTATTTGAGTTTCTTTAAATTTAATTTTCCACACGTAATTCACTATATTATTTCTCAATTCACTAGAAACTTGTGATAAAATATGTTGTTGTTCGTAGTTTAAATATTTACAAATATTTGTGAGCAAATCGATGTTTCTAAGATATTGTTCCATCGTTGAAAGTTAAACGTCTGACTTGACTCAAGATCACCCAAAGTCTGTTGATATATAAGTATTTTTTTTGTTTTACTGATATAAAGTCCAGAGAATAAAATCTAAAAAGAAAAATAATTTTTCAATTTAAATTTATTTTATTTATCTTGGAGTTATTTTTGCTTGCAATTTTGTGTTCTTATCTCTGTGGTTTATGAATGTATTAAACTTAAAAAAATACCCAGTTGGAAAAATGATCGTAGACGACATTGTCTTCGACGATTCATGCAAGACATTTTCGAATTTGTCCCCTATCGCTGAAGTTGGCTAAACGACAATGTGTAAGAAATCTTCGTTAACGACAAGATTAGCGACAAAGACCTGTTCGTTGTCGTCTTTTAAATCCTATTAAAGACGAGATGAGCAACTGTGTCTTTAATATATTCTTCTATAAACGATGTCAAAGACATGAAGTAAGACAACGCCTTCAGAATAGTCCTGTATCAAACAGAAATAATGAAAAGATGGGCGACAAGGTCTAGAATATTGTCATGTAACTTACTCTGTTGACGACTATATGATCGATAAATTCTTAAGCGTTGTCTTCTGGGCTTTTTTTATGAAGACACCATAGAAGACAATGTCTTTAAAATCGTCATCTATATAAGCTATTGAGAGAATAAACTCGTATATACTTCTCTCTATTAATTATATTACTGACAGTTTAAGATAATATGTCTTCAACGATGTCTTTTAAATAACTCTATTGACGACAGTATGAGCGACTAATCTTAAATATTTTCTTCTAACAAATACACACGATGATGATATGAGCGTCAATGTCTTGGATGTTGTCTTATATTGGACTATACTGACGGCAAGATGAGCGACATTGTCTTGCAAGTTGTCCCCTATTTAATTCTATTTGATGAGAGTCAATGTTTCTATGCAGTGTGATTGCCAAAAAAAAAAAAAAAAAATGTATAATAACGGTAAAATAACTGCCATTTGAAAAAAGGGCAAAATAGAAAAGTAAAAACTCATTTGAGTGCGAACAGTTGCATAAGTAAGAGTGTTTTAAAGTGTTTAAAAGTGAAATTAAAAGTGTTATCAAAATATATTTAATTTAATAATAAATACGGAAATGTACTCAAAGCTTTATATGGTGAGTATGTTTAAGACATATTACTTGGCAATAAAAAAAACATATCTATAACTTTTTAAAATTCATATTTTTTAAACAGAATCCGCAAAAAAAGAGGGATATACCTACGAGGAATTTATAAAAGATTTAAGAGGTATCTTTCGTAGAATCAAGAATACTTACAATAAGGAAAAAGCTAGACAATACAATAAAGAAAATTCAAATAATTCTCTATAACCCTTTTTATAACAATTAATATGTTTTTAAAAATGTATTCAAATGAAATAAATATTGTTTTTGAATTAAATGTGATATTTTAAAATATTTTTATTCAACTTAAAACATTTTCTTTTAAAAAATAAAGTGAACGACAAAGCTTAGGACATTGTCACTCATGTAATCGTTGACGCCAAAGTGAATGATACTATCATCAATATAGTCGTTAATTACAAAGCTGAGGACATTTTCGCCCATATAATCGTTGACGACAAAGTGGACGATATTGTCGCTTATTTAGTCGTTAACGACAAAGCCCATATAATCGTTGACGACAAAGTGGATGATCTTGTCGCCCATATAATCGTTCACGACAAAGTGGATGATATTGTGGCTTATATAGTCGTTGATGATAAAATGGTGGAATTAATCTATATTTTTGGGTGAAGGACAAACTGAGCGACATTGTCCCTCATCTAGTCGTCCACGATTTTCGCGACACTTGTTCGAAAATGTCGTTGACGATTTGTTCCGGCTGTCCTATATTTGTCTTCCAGGACTTTACATTGTCGTTTACCCATCGTTGAGGATGTCTTAAAGACATGCCCAACTGGGTATATATATATGTATATGTTTTATAAAAATAGATGGTTGATGACTGCCCTTTCTTAAGGTGGTATTAGAGTAAAATACATATCGTCTAATACCACCTTTAGCAATTTATCGTTTACTATTCTTTTACTTGCAATTAAACTTACATATGTTAATATAAGGCTGGAATTTGTATGTAGTTTATTAACGTTTTCTTTCAAAAATTTCTTAAGAAGTACTTAAATAATTATGAAAAATTAAATAATAACTAAATCATGGACAAACTCTTGAAGTAAAGAAGCGTTTAAGTCTTATTCTCCAGATACAAGAATCTATCCCTGTTGCAAAATCTCTCTTGCCTATGCACTTCTATGCGAAAGCTAATAGAATGCCTATTAAAAGATCTTCGCTTAAAGGCCTATAAGTAGTACAGCTTCATAGAATATCTACTATTAAATTCGATTAAAAAACATTTAAATTTAAGCCAAATAAGTAGTAAGTCAGCTGAAAGAAGTCTTTATCGTGTGTTATAAGGGAGAATTTATACAACATAAACCTGAAGGATGGACTTTTTATACAAAAGGCAGCAAAATTTATTTATTTCTTATAGAGATAATATATACTATATATACTCCTGTTCCAAAAACACATTCCGATCTAAAATGGAGTTATTTAAGTAAAGATATTTATTAAAACTTAAAAAAATAAAATAATTTAAAACATCCCACTTTAAAAATTGAAAGTGGTTTTGATCGGAATGAAATCCTTTTACAGTCCTAATAGCAATAATTGAAAAATTGAATTTTAAATGAAATTTTGTTAGATCGTAATTTGCAATGTACTTTTGAAGGACTACTTCAAGTCTACCTTCTGCGCAAAAACATAGTTACAAAAGATGAAGATATGTTGAATTTTGGTTATTAAAATCTATGTCCAGTTTTGAAAAAAAAGCTTATAGGTTTGGATTCTGTGCGCTCTTGAGAATATTAATCTATTTTTGTTTTTGTTATCTGTCAGCTATAAAAACCAAAAAACAAAATTGGATAGTTTCATAAACAAATAATGATTTTTCGAATTCAATTGTTACAGCCCTATTGAAAATATTTTTAGGGGTTTGCACTTTTCTGATTCCTCTTAAAAAATTACAATTTCACTTCCAAATAACTATAAAAAATATATTATAAAAATAAATTCTTGATAATGACTTAAAATATTAAAATATTAACGATTTAATTATATTATTATATAGATTAAGCCATGTCCGTCTGTTCGTCCGTCCGTCCGTCTGTTTGTATGTCGAAATCAATTTTCTGAAGACCCCCAGATATTATTGGGATTTAAATCTTCAATAATTCTATCAGATATTATTTCAAGAAGCTTCCCATTAAAAAAAAAAATTAAAGAGATATAAGCAAAAATCCGAGACAACCTCTGGAAATGAAAACATTGTCAGATAAATATTTCCTTTTGCCATACAACAGTCTATTTTTCGACTTTTTTCAGTTAGTTAAAAGTCGACTTTTAAACTTTTCGACTTTAAGTATTTTGTAAATAGTCGACTTTTCGACCTTTTTCGACTTTCTGACTTCTTTCGACTATTTTCGACTTTTTCCGACTTCTTTTTTGACTATTTTCGATTTTTTTCGACTCTTTCCGACCTTTCGACAATAACAGACTTTTTGACTATTTTCGACCATTTCAGATCAGATTTGTCGATGATTTTCGACTTTTTCCGACATTTTTTCGATTTTCAAAAATTTTCGACTGTTTGACTATTTTTGACTTTTTCCGACTTTTCGACTATTTTCGACTTTTTCCGACTATTTTCGACTTTTTCTGACTTTTCGACTATTTTCGACTTTTTCCGACTTTTTGACTTTTTTCGACTTTTATTTCCAGACGATAGTCGAGTTATCGACTTTTTTGGAACAAAATAGTCGACTTTTCGACTTTCTTCACAGACGATAGTCGAGTTATCGACTTTTTTGGAACAAAATAGTCGACTTCGACTTTTTTCGACAAAAAGTCGATTGTGCGATTATTCGAAAGTCGTTTTATAGAACCCTATGAAGCTGTGTGTTAGACCTGGTCCACACTAGGAAACTTTTTCTTAATTCTCTTTTGAAGTTTCCTTAATGTCCACACATAGAAACTTTTGTTTCAGAAACTATGTGTAAATTGCATTGATTTGTTGTTGTACGAAGAATAAGACCTGATTCACACTGGTAAACTTTTTTTGAGAAACTTTTGATTTTTGTGTGTGAGAGAAAGAGAAACAAATATCAACCATCTCTTTCTCTCACACAGAAAATCAAAAGTTTTTCAACAACCAGGTCTAACAAAACAAAACAAGTTTCCGAGAACGGGAAACTCCGTACCGCGATAGAGATGAATGATATTATTTCTCTTTCTCTCTTACGCAAAATTAAAAGTTTCCCAAAAAAGTTTGCTAGTGTGGACCGGCAGTTATAATTATTTTGTTAACGCCAAAATCAGAGATGGAAAATTGTGTGTGCGAAATTAAGCAGGGATGGTTAGAAATGATTTTTTTCTGGTATTTTTTCGTTTTTCAAAAGGCATTTTTTTTTTTGTAATTTTCTATAATATTGAACCTAGAAATATGAAATTGAGTATGTTGAGCCCGGAGTAAGTGAGAACCTATAAAAGGGGACTTTTTGGAATTTCTTTAAAAAGGTACTTTTTGAATTTTCTTTAATACTGAACATATTGCATGTTGGGCCCGGAGTGAATCAGAACCTAGAAGATATTTTGGTACTTTTTAGTTCTTCAAAATGTACTTTTTGAATTTTCTGTAATATTGAACCTAGAAACAAAAAATTAAGCATGTAGAGCCCGTGGCTTTTTGCTACATTTTCGTTGAAGAGATTTTTTTATTTTATACATAGTTTCCAAACAATTATAACAAATAGAATCACAATTAGAAATTAGATCGCTGTATAGCTGTATCTACGATTTGAATTCTGAGGATTTAGGAGAAAAAATTGTTTTGTTAAATTTTTTGGAAAACTGGAAAACTCATTATTTATAATGAATTTATGTAAGTTTAGATGTGTTTAACTCCTACATGAATTCATTAAAACATTGAAGAAACCATTGGTAATGGAATTATACCATGCCATGGAAATAGCGCATAGGATTGATTAAATGGCAAAGATTTTCCAAGCGTAGCAAAAAATTTGTTCAAAAATATAACAAATCGGAATGATCTTTAAAAATAGGCATCTCCAGTTCTTTGTAATTTTGTAAATTACTTAAATTCAAATCTTTTTTAATATTTCCAAAACCGCTAACATTTTGACATTCGCTGTAAGATGCAGTTTGATTTTTTCTCTACACCAAGTATGTATCAGAGTTGCCAGTATTTCTTAGCGTTTATTAATAACTAGCTATACCCAGTCTGCTTCGCTACTCTAGAAACAATATTAATAAAAACCGGAAAATCAGGTTTTCATCAAAAATATATTGAAATTAAGGCAAAATTCAAAATAGCTTCTTTATTATTAAAAATAAAAATAATACGTATAATAGATATACTAATAACTGGTTTAGGGTATCATATGGTCGACCACGCCCCACTATACTTTTTACTTGTTTCCAGTGAAAATGAAAAGAAACATAGTGTATTTTGCAAAAATGTCAAACTTTGACCCACTGTAACTCAGAGTGTCCTTGAGCGATCTTATTGAAAAATTGTGTCTAAACTGCTATCCAATAGCACTAACATTTAATTCCGATCGGAAGATAATAAATAAATAATATAATAATTTTTGTTTTCTTATCGATTCTTAAATTTATTAAAATTTGCATAAATATCATAACAAAAAGTTTTACAATAAAAAAAATATTAATTAATTACACAGACCAACAAATTTTTGACCGAAAGACCGAAGTATACTTTTCTAAAGATATGAGCATTGCTTAATACGAATCTGCCACAAATGGGTGTGTTGCCTAAAAATATACGGGTATCGGGAACAAGTTCCGTAATTTCAGAGGAACATATTCCATTATAGTATCGATAGAACAGTGAAATACATCCCACGTTGCGACGGTGATCCAGTGAATCAATAGAGTCACCGATAAGTACCTTCGCCCTCTCCTGTATGCTGTCGAGTAGCTCCAATAGAGACTTCGAACCTCCGGCCTATACATGAGAGTTGAATGTAAGTGGTGTATCTTTGTTGATAAGATCAGTTTTGCCCTAAAATAAAGGCAACATTAAGCTTTAAGTTAAGATAACTCGAGGAAGGATAAAGATATGACAGAGGTTAGAGGTTATCTTGAAGTCGACAGATTGGTCTTTCAGACTTTATTAAAGATTTTATAAATGAGGTCGTCTTTCCGCTTTTATAAGGTCTCATATATGACCTTTCAGTTCTTAGGACACGATATCTCCAAAATTTTTTTTTTCAAATTTTAACTCCATTTCGTCTTTATTCTATGACAAACTTATATGTCTCAATTTGTCATACCTTTTCCACACTAAAGCCCTTTTTGAATTATGTAAATATCTCTTGTACCTACTTGGGTAGTCATCGTCCTATGAAATTTTTGCCATAACATAAAGAGAACATCCAGCATTATGCTAAGATAACTCGAAGCAGGATAAAGATATGACACAGATTAGAGGAAAGATTGGACTTTCTTTCAGACGCCATAAAAAATTTTATAAATGAGGTCGTCATCCCGCTTTAATAAGCTCTCAAATGTGACCTAAAACGGGGGGTTTTCAGTTTCTAGAACTCGATATCGCCAAAAAAATTGATGTGATGGGGGAATTCTGAGACCAGATATGTATTTAAACACTGCTAAATATTTTTTCAACTTTTTTTTTTTTTTTTAAATTTTGTTGGTCTATGTTATTGTAGTATAAAATATGCATCCATATCCCGCTTTTCAAAGGATTGTATAATATTGCTTATTAGATTCATGGTTTCTTCACATTCATTCCGAATAGAATTACAATCTGAAAAATATATAGAAAAAATATTTATTTTAAATTGGTGCACTAGTAATTTATGATTTATTTACCTATTGAAATACCGCCAACATTAATATTCTTAAATCGCTTTGGAAAGTTTCTATTACGCGATATTTGAACAACTGAATTTGTTGACACAAATTTCTGAAACGCTAGAGATAATTCTTTATTTAAATTTAATAATTTAAGCAAAACGTCTTCAACTACAGTTTCGATGTCACCAAATCTATTGCATTCTAAACGAAGATACCGAAGATTTGTCGGAAAGGCTTTCATTTCATGCTTAAATATTCCAGGATTAATGTTTCTAATTGATAATTCGTGTAAATTTCCATGTTTTAGCAGCAGCATAAACTCAGACATAAGAATCATACCATTTATTTTTAATTTATGCAAATATTTAAATTTCCAAAAATCTTCAGCAATTAACTGATCTCTAGTAATATTCAGAACATTTAAATTTTGTCCAAAATTTGAAATCATCAACTTTTCACCACCCTTCACAACATACCGCAATTCTTTTAAGTTTAAAACAAATTGTTCATCATTGTTCGTATAATACAGCAATTCTTTTAAGTTTATAAGATTTTTTTCATTAAACTTTAATAACTTCGTAAAATTTGTGTCTTTAGTAATTATTTCAAGTTTTTGCAATAATGGCGAAATAGAAAAATATTCAAAATTTCCATTATATGTGGTACTTAGAGATTTAAAACATTTTAAATGAATTCCACTCAATATCGTTTTCAAATTTGAATAAGTTAATCCATCGCAGTGTTCGAGAATAAGTTCGTTTAATGTAGGCAATACTTTGAAATGTTTAGTAAGGCCTAGGATCAAGTGTAAACGTGTTAAACATTTACATGATTTTAATAAACTATCAAAAAAATCTTCATTAATATAAGTATCCTCCTCACACCTTAGGGTTAAGTTGCAAAGATTTTCAAAGTGTGGCAAGAAATTTATTTTGTACAATATGAATTGACTCATATCTAGTTCTTTGTAATATTTTAAATTTCTTAAATTTACATCGATTTTATTATTTTTGGATCCATAACGAATATTAATGTCATTTAATGTTAACTGCAGTAATTTTAATTGATTAATAATATTTTTAACATTATTCAAATCATTATAGGACGAGTATGGCCATGTGTTTATAGTTAATTTGTTCAAATTTTTTATATCTTTAATAGTTTGAATATCAATATCAATTCCAATTTCTAAAGGTTTATCTTCTGGACTGAAGCAATTATTTAGGATCAAAGTATCCAGTTTCAAAAAATTCTCTGCTATTCTTTGCAAATCCCTATTTTCCAATTGCATATTCCAGCAGCACAGTTCAGTAAGATTTGGAAATGTTTGCGTGAAAGGTAAGACATTCTGTCTGCGATTCTCTTCTTGGTCTTTGTCAGCTATTAATTGCAATTTTTTAACATTATTTTTATTTAATTTTAAGAAAGTTTCCATATTTTTACTTTGTAAATGTAAACCTTTTCTATGCCATATATCATAGTCATAGCCATAGTATTCATGAAAAATATACTTATTGATTGCATCCATTGTATCCGATACTACAGATTGTGTTTGATTCATTGCGATTTGTATTTCTTGAAATGTAGTTTTCCACACATAATTCGTTATAATATTTTCCAATTCACTTGAAACTTGCGTCAATTGAAATTGATCTTCGTAATTTAAAAATTTGCACATATATGTGATCAAATCGATGTTTGTAAAAAAAATTTCCATTTTTTAATTATACCTACGTCTTGTTAAAAGATCTTCTCCTTTCGAAACAATTTGTTAGACTGACTCACCGGCACAAAGTATACAGAGGTGTCACTTTTGACATTTAAAAAAGTCTAAAATCAGCTTTTGTTTGATTTTGAAATTGTTTGGTGAGAAGAGGTATATAAAATACAGCTAAAAAAATTATTGAATTCGTTTTGTGCGAAAGAGAGGGAAATAGTTTTTTGCTCGTGACGCCTCTGTATACCCTGTGTCACCGGACATACGTGTCGTTACTGATAATACTATTTATTTATCTATAACAGTGTTGCCCATACACACACTGTTACACATTCATTTGTATTGGTAAAGCAGCAGAGAACAAAATGTAACCCAAAATAAAACTGTACTAATAAAATGACTGCTTACTAAAAAGTATATTCTAACTGTCAAATTGATATTATGGATTTTGACAGACAGCGTACATTAAAGTTCATATATAAAAAACTATCAGCTGTGCTCTCTCATTCACCTACATAAATTCGGCTTTCTCAAAATTTTGTTGTTGTATTTCTGTGTGGATTTTAAAAAAGTTGCGTACAGATCTTACTTCGACAAATGCTGATCAGCAACTGAGTTGATTTTGTTTTGCAAGTTGAGAGATAATCAACTAGCACATGCTCAAATAAGAAAATACACAAGTAAGATTATAGTGTAGGTGAGTCAACGCAACGTCAGCAGAATATTCTTGCCCTATCTCGCGTGATAGGGAATAGTGATTTTGGGCACCATTGATCTATAACAACAATGCAGTGATTCCCCATTTTGTATACTATGATAATTACTAAATTTGTGTTTTTTTTTCCGTACACAACGTGTATTTATAAAGTGACGACAGTACTTGTTGTACAACAACCACAGGCAATGGTTGTGTTATAAATATATAATTCTGTCAAACTTTGCCTGTTCTTGTTATAGCATACGATTGAAAGAAATAATCAGCTGTGCTTTCGTCACCACTGTGTACAGTGTTGCAAATTTGACGTTTTTCCTGTCAAATCTGACGTTTATGAAATGGCACTTGCGGGAGAAAACAACAATGTAATCACCTACAATCAAGCACTATCTCTGCGTTGTTGTAGTATTCTTGCTTCTGCATGTAAACTATTCTCTTTTTTTGATGAAATTTTCCGATATCGTCTCGGATTTTTGCTTACTTCTCCATTATTTATTGACGGATTTTTCTGATTTTAAATCGCAAATTTCTCGAAAGTATATCTGACAGAATTATTGTAAATTTGAATACCGAAGATATCTGGGGTCTTCACAAATCTGATTTCAACAGACGGACGTTTTGCTAATTGTCTCACTTTGCAGGGTTTGGAGAGTCTAACATATAGTGCAGTCTATAGTCTAGTCTAGTCTATAGTCTAGCCTATAGTCTAGTCTATAGTCTAGTCTATAGTCTAGTCTATAGTCTAGTCTAAAGTCTAGTCTATAGTCTAGTCTATAGCCTAGACTAAAGTCTAGTCTATAGTCTAGTCTATAGTCTAGTCTATAGTCTAGTCTATAGTCTAGTCTATAGTCTAGTCTATAGTCTAGTCTAGTCTAGTCTATAGTCTAGTCTATAGTCTAGTCTATACTAGTCTAGTCTATAGTCTAGTCTATAGTCTAGTCTATAGTCTAGTCTATAGTCTAGTCTATAGTCTAGTCTATAGTCTAGTCTATAGTCTAGTCTATAGTCTAGTCTATAGTCTAGTCTATAGTCTAGTCTATAGTCTAGTCTATAGTCTAGTCTATAGTCTAGTCTATAGTCTAGTCTATAGTCTAGTCTATAGTCTAGTCTATAGTCTAGTCTATAGTCTAGTCTATAGTCTAGTCTATAGTCTAGTCTATAGTCTAGTCTATAGTCTAGTCTATAGTCTAGTCTATAGTCTAGTCTATAGTCTAGTCTATAGTCTAGTCTATAGTCTAGTCTATAGTCTAGTCTATAGTCTAGTCTATAGTCTAGTCTATAGTCTAGTCTATAGTCTAGTCTATAGTCTAGTCTATAGTCTAGTCTATAGTCTAGTCTATAGTCCTAGTCTAGTCTAGTCTAGTCTATAGTCTAGTCTATAGTCTAGTCCTATAGTCTAGTCTATAGTCTAGTCTATAGTCTAGTCTATAGTCTAGTCTATAGTCTAGTCTATAGTCTAGTCTATAGTCTAGTCTATAGTCTAGTCTATAGTCTAGTCTATAGTCTAGTCTATAGTCTAGTCTATAGTCTAGTCTATAGTCTAGTCTATAGTCTAGTCTATAGTCTAGTCTATAGTCTAGTCTATAGTCCTAGTCTATAGTCTAGTCTATAGTCTAGTCTATAGTCTAGTCTATAGTCTAGTCTAGTCTAGAGTCTAGTCTAGTCTATAGTCTAGTCTTATAGTCTAGTCTAGTCTAGTCTATAGTCTAGTCTATAATCTAGTCTATAGTGTAGCTATAGTCTAGTCTATAGTCTAGTCTATAGTCTAGTCTATAGTCTAGTCTAGTCTATAGTCTAGTCTATAGTCTAGTCTATAGTCTAGTCTATAGTCTAGTCTAGTCTAGTCTAGTCTAGTCTATAGTCTAGTCTATAGTCTAGTCTATAGTCTAGTCTATAGTCTAGTCTATAGTCTAGTCTATAGTCTAGTCTATAGTCTAGTCTATAGTCTAGTCTATAGTCTAGTCTATAGTCTAGTCTATAGTCTAGTCTATAGTCTAGTCTATAATCAAATTTCTGGTCTATAGTCTAAAACCTAAATCTGGCGGTTTTTTTGACATAGTTTAACGGGAAATGGTGGAAAAATATTGGCAACACTGGTCAAAACTAATGACTATGGATGCAATCCGATGAGTTAAATTCTTGAGCTCTTAATCGGCTAACTACGATTTATTAGTTAAATGCTACTGCTCTCGATCAGTTAACTACTGGGTTCGTTCTGACAAAGGGTCACAAAAAGTGGCGAAGCACTTGAAAAAGGGTCAAATTGCGACTTCTCACGTATATAGTCTAGTCTATAGGCTAGTCTATGGTCTAGTTTATAGTCTAGTCTATAGTCTAGTCTATAGTCTAGTCTATAACCTAATTTCTGGTCTATAGTCTAAAACCTAAATCTGGCGGTTTTTTTGACATAGTTTAACGGGAAATGGTGAAAAAATATTGGCAACACTGGTCAAAACTAATGACTATGGATGCAATCCGATGAGTTAAATTCTTGAGCTCTTAATCGGCTAACTACGATTTATTAGTTAAATGCTACGGCTCTCGATCAGTTAACTACTGGGTTCCGTTACGGTATTAGTATGAAGTAAGAACTTTGGTCTAGTTGCGATTTGATGCCCGGGAACAAATTGAAACTTATTCGTTACTTCGGTTCTTGCTTGCCCTGTTCATAAATTCTTAAATCTCTTATATTAGAATGCACATAAACTATTTGGGAATTATAACACTTTGTATTGTAATAGGAAAATATTAATTAGAGCAATTAGTATAGAGAGTTATGTTGTTTCTTTAATAATATCGTTATAATGAAGTTTATTGAACTATAAAATATGGTTTCAAATTAGTTATTTCTAACGTTTTGATAAGATCACATATTTGATCCATAGTTTTCTCACAACGATTCCGAATAGAATTACAATCTAAAAAATAAATATAGAAATAATTATTTAAACAGTATTGTCTTAATAAATTATTCATATTTATTATTTACCTATAGAAACACCGCAAACGTTAATATTTTTAAAACGTTTTGGAAATTGTTCATGACTCACGATTTCTGCTATTGACTTCGCATATTCGATGTGACATGCAAACGATAATTGTGTATTCATACTTAAGAAATCGAACAAAAAGTCTATTATGAAACCCTTTAAAAGTTTAAACAACCGTAGATATTGAAGATTTGTGTTAAAAGCTTTCATTTCACTTAAAACAACAAAAGCTTGGTCATAGGAATAAACAATATTCCAAAATGATAATTTATATAAATTTTCAAGTTTTAGCAATAGCAGCAAATCAGATATAGCAATACTGCTATGAGTTAGTATGATCTCTTGCAAATATTTCAATTTGAAACAATCTTCAGCTATCAACTTGCCTGTATTTGTACTAAGAACTTTTATATTTTGGGCAAACTTAGAAACTTTCAAGTTATCAGCATCACTATAATGAAATTCTGTTAAGTTCAAGAGATTTGCTTCATTAAGCTCTAATAACTTTATAATAACATTGTTGTCATATAAATCTATATCGACTTTTTGCAATGTTTGAGAAATAGAAAAATTTTCAAAATTTCCTTCATATTTGGTACGATAGGATTTAAAACATTTTAAATGCATTTCACTTAATATAGTTTTCAAATTTGAATACTTTAATCCTTCGCAATCATCTATATAAAGTTCAGTTAATGTATTCAAGGCTATGAAATCATTTGTAATGAATCTTCGTAAGTGTAGATGTGTTAAACTTTTACAAGATTTCGATAAATCATAAAAGAATTTTTTAGTAATGGAAATTTTGTTTGGTACGGAAATAGAGCCTAGACTTAAATGGCAAAGATTTTCCAAGTGTGTCAAGAAATTTATTTGAAAATATAAGAAATCGGAATAGGCTTTAAAATTTGGCAAATCCAGTTCTTTGTAATATTTGAAATTACTTAAATTTAAATCGTTCTTCTTCAAATCTTCAAAACCTCCATCATTAGCCGTGAATTGCTGCAACTTTAGTTGTTTAACAATATCTTTAAGACATGCAAAATTGTAATGGCAGTTATATACACAAAGATTGTTCAAATTCTGCATAGCATTGAGAATTTGTTTATCTATATTAAGTCCAATTTCCGAAAATCTACCTTTTTGTCTAAGACAATTATTTAGTAACAATGTATCGATGTTTGGACAGTTCTCCGCCACTTGTTGCAAATCAGTATTTTCCAATTTTATATTCCGACAATGTAGTTCAGTAAGATTTGGGAATTTAAGCCCAAAAGTTAAAACATTCCATATACTCTCATCGGAATCTCGGTTTGCAATTAATTGTAATTTGTAGATTTTTACTAGTCAAAATTAGACTCTTTCTTCGCCATATATCAGGGTCAAAATAATCCTTATAATCGTATTTGAATACTTGTCTTTTATCCGTTACTACAAATGTTGTTCCATTAATAAGAATTTGTATTTCTTGGCAGTTAATTTTCCACAAATAATTCACTATAGAATTTCTCAATTCACCGGAAACTTGGGCTAATTGTAATTGTTGTTCGAAATTTAAGAATTTACACATATAAGTGACTAAATCAATGTTGGTAAAAAATTTTTCCATTGTTGTTGAAAGATCTGTTGCGAAGTAGATAATTTCTTAAACTGACTCAATGTAAATTATTAATATGACGATATCGGATGGTGATTATACCGATAAACTCGTTCTTTCCCCTTTTGCAAACCACATCATTTCTTTAATTTGTATTTTTATACCCTACAGCACTATAGTAGTAATAGTAGTTTTTAACAACTAATAAACTTGGTTCTACACTTTAAAGTATACTAATCGGCTCAGTATCGCTTTTTAAGTTGATTTAGCTATGTCTGTCTGCCAGTGTGTCCATGTTAACCTTTTACACACACTACGCTTCCTTGTCAAAGACGAAATCTATTGAAAATGATATTAAAAATCCCCCCTGAATAGAGCTTTTGAGCTTATAATTATATATAATGATCGGAACAATATAGTTTCATTTAAGTCTTAATAAATTGACCCTAGCCCTCAAAGAAAGTCCCCTTTAGAAAGTGATTTGAAGGTCAAAATTCACTTATAAACACTAATATTGCATTGAAATTCTGCCATACATACATACATACATACATACATACATACATACATACATACATACATACATACATACATACATACATACATACATACATACATACATACATACATACATACATACATACATACATACATACATACATACATACATACATACATACATACATACATACATACATACATACATACATACATACATACATACATACATACATACATACATACATACATACATACATACATACATACATACATACATACATACATACATACATACATACATACATACATACATACATACATACATACATACATACATACATACATACATACATACATACATACATACATACATACATACATACATACATACATACATACATACATACATACATACATACATACATACATACATACATACATACATACATACATACATACATACATACATACATACATACATACATACATACATACATACATACATACATACATACATACATACATACATACATACATACATACATACATACATACATACATACATACATACATACATACATACATACATACATACATACATACATACATACATACATACATACATACATACATACATACATACATACATACATACATACATACATACATACATACATACATACATACATACATACATACATACATACATACATACATACATACATACATACATACATACATACATACATACATACATACATACATACATACATACATACATACATACATACATACATACATACATACATACATACATACATACATACATACATACATACATACATACATACATACATACATACATACATACATACATACATACATACATACATACATACATACATTACATACATACATACATACATCATCATACATACATACATACATACATACATACATACATACATACATACTACATACATACATACATACACATACATACATACATACATACATACATACATACATACATACATACATACATACATACATACATACATACATACATACATATACATACATACTACATACATACATACATACATACATACATACTACATACATACATACATACATACATACATACATACATACATACATACATACATACATACATACATACATACATACATACATACTACATACATACATACATACATACATACATACATACATACATACATACATACATACATACATACATACATACATACATACATACATACATACATACATACATACATACATACATACATACATACATACATACATACATACATACATACATACATACATACATACATACATACATCATACATACATACATACATACATACATACGTATGTACGTACGTATATCTGAGATAATATAACAGTTAGAGTCCTCAAAATTTGTCGGAGCCACTTTAGAGTCAATATGATTATTTAGGATAAAAAGTATACGGACTAGCAGCAGAGGGCGTGGCACCTCACATATAAATTAAATTCACAAATGCGTTTATCTTGGAAACTATTACAACTAGAATCTTAAAATTTTGCACAAAGAACTTTAACATCCATATAAAAATTTTGGGTTACAAATTGGCGGACTATCAATGTGGGGAGAAGTACCTCCCATACGAATTAATTACAAAAATTCATTTATATGGGAAACTAATAGAGCTAAATTTTTCAAATTTTGCTCGAGCATCAGAACATTTCTGGAGGGGCTTGGAATCTCCATATGAATTAAATAGAAAAATTCGTATACCTGAGAAACTATTAGGGCTAGAATCTTCAAATTTTACATTAAGAACTTTGACATTCATCTGAACATTTAATAATGGGCGGACTTTCAATGGGGTGTTTGCAACCTCCCATATGAATTAAATACAAATTAAATGCAAATAAAATCAGATAAATTTTTTTGTTTTTTGTTTGTATTGTATTTTATTTTCATTTCCTTTTTTTTGCTTTATATTTTTTAATTTAAATATACATTGCATTTCAAGTCTTCTAATTAAGAGTGATACATTTGTTTTCATTATTTCTTTCTCTTTTTTCTTACAATATTATTTCAAAACAAAACAGACAGTAACTCTGCCTGTTTATCTAAATGCGAACAAATATTTCTTTCTCATTTTATATTGAAAACATTAACAATTTTTCGAATTTATTTCTTGTTTTCAATATAAAACTAGAAAATACTTCTTCGTTCGCATTTAGATACTATTTCTAGTTAATTCAAAATACTATTTCTAGTAGCATAAAATTTAAAAAAAAAAAAAAACAATTTTGTAAAATTTTATAGTTATAATTAAAGTATTTGTTTGTTAATATTTTCTTGGAAAAATATGAAAGTTTTTCGGGTTAATTTTGTTTAAATAATATAATTTACGAAAAAGAAAAAAAAAAAAAAACAAAATTAAAAAAATAAAGAAAAAATAAAATAATAATAAAAAATAAATCATTAACTTGTTTTGTCATCACAAAGATAATTATTTTCATTTTTTATTTGTTTATAAGACAAATATAATTATGTCCTTTTTGTCATTTACTATCACGAAAAATTGAGTATTTGTTTTTTATGTAAAATTAAAAGAGATTAATAAACTTAATTTAAAAAATACTACAATTAATAAAAAACAACTAAATGTATGATGATTGAGCACACTACGTTTAATTTATGATAAATTCTTTGCTGCAATTTATTAAGGAATTTTTCTTTTTTAAGTTTTTTTTTGCGTCCTGTACACCAAGTGATTTAAGAAAGCAGCAAGTTTAGTTATATATTTGTTGTTTTTTTTTTCATTGCAGGTTTATTTACAGTTGGGAAGGAGATCTGAAATTCGAAATTAAAGGTGAGTTTTTGAACAAGTCTTTTAATAAATAAGACTTTTTTAATTTTCTAGTTCAGTTTTAGTTCTAGTTCAGTTCTAGTTCAGTTCTAGTTCAGTTCTAGTTCAGTTCTAGTTCAGTTCTAGTTCAGTTCTAGTTCAGTTCTAGTTCAGTTCTAGTTCAGTTCTAGTTCAGTTCTAGTTCAGTTCTAGTTCAGTTCTAGTTCAGTTCTAGTTCAGTTCTAGTTCAGTTCTAGTTCAGTTCTAGTTCAGTTCTAGTTCAGTTCTAGTTCAGTTCTAGTTCAGTTCTAGTTCAGTTCTAGTTCAGTTCTAGTTCAGTTCTAGTTCAGTTCTAGTTCAGTTCTAGTTCAGTTCTAGTTCAGTTCTAGTTCAGTTCTAGTTCAGTTCTAGTTCAGTTCTAGTTCAGTTCTAGTTCAGTTCTAGTTCAGTTCGAGTTCAATTCTAGTTCAGTTCTAGTTCAGTTCTAGTTCAGTTCTAGTTCAGTTCTAGTTCAGTTCTAGTTCAGTTCTAGTTCAGTTCTAGTTCAGTTCTAGTTCAGTTCTAGTTCAGTTCTAGTTCAGTTCTAGTTCAGTTCTAGTTCAGTTCTAGTTCAGTTCTAGTTCAGTTCTAGTTCAGTTCTAGTTCAGTTCTAGTTCAGTTCTAGTTCAGTTCTAGTTCAGTTCTAGTTCAGTTCTAGTTCTAGTTCAGTTCTAGTTCAGTTCTAGTTCAGTTCTAGTTCAGTTCTAGTTCAGTTCTAGTTCAGTTCTAGTTCAGTTCTAGTTCAGTTCTAGTTCAGTTCTAGTTCAGTTCTAGTTCAGTTCGAGTTCAATTCTAGTTCAGTTCTAGTTAAGTTCTACTTCAGTTCTAGTTCAGTTCTAGTTCAGTTCTAGTTCAGTTCTAGTTCAGTTCTAGTTCAGTTCTAGTTCAGTTCTAGTTCAGTTCTAGTTCAGTTCTAGTTCAGTTCTAGTTCAGTTCTAGTTCAGTTCTAGTTCAGTTCTAGTTCAGTTCTAGTTCAGTTCTAGTTAAGTTCTAGTTCAGTTCTAGTTCAGTTCTAGTTCAGTTCTAGTTCAGTTCTAGTTCAGTTCTAGTTCAGTTCTAGTTCAGTTCTAGTTCAGTTCTAGTTCAGTTCTAGTTCAGTTCTAGTCCAATTGGAGTTTTAGTTTAAAATAAACAAAATACCTACTTTAGTGTGCTTTAGTTTTTTGCGCTTTCCATTGTTTCTTTTTGAAAATAAACAATGTTTATCCGGTTACCCGGTTTAAGTTGACAACAGCCGCACAGTGGTATAGGAAAAAAAAAAGAGGGAAATAATTCGGTAACTTCTAAACGGTTAATCCGATTTTAATGAAATTTGGTGTGCACAAAGAGGAGGTGTTGTCGAGTTTAGGTTTTGAATTTGGACCTTATAGGCCAACCAGGGGCCCGGCGGGGGGTCATCAAATTAGGACACCTCGGCTATGTTAAATTTTTAAAACGATCCTATTTCTTCATTTGAGTTCCGATTTAAAAAAAAATTTCGTATATAGAATCTCCTCATCGAGCACTATAAAAAATGTTGTCATAGCAGTAAATTATCTCTTATAGTTTAGGAGATATTCGCATTTGAAAATTAAAATTTTAAAATTTTTACCGTCCTTACTTTAGTTTTTTTTGATAATAGCAGGTCCAAATATTCCCGATTTTCGCCATTTTGTTTTATTCGCTTAACAACAAGTTTATATATCAAGCAGTGAAAGAATTATGTAAAAATCATGACTGAGTCCAAAGTTATAGGCATTTTAATTTAAAAAATTAAAAAAAGGCGATTTTTTGTCATTTTTTTGGGAAAAAAGTATCTTTTTCTTTTTAAGTTATCTAAAAAGTTTCTAAGAAGATGCATATAGAATTTATACTTTTTGGAAAGCTGACTTTACATAAAGTACGATAAATGAAACAAAACCTAAAAATTTTTGATACCGAGGGGACCAGGTCCATCCAAAAAAACCCTATTTTTTATGGAAAATTAAATTTTGAGCAAAAATTCTCAAATCGCATAGTCGATATCAAATTATAGTGACCTGTTTTATATGACCCAATATGTTCTTAATCATTTTGTAACGGGTTTCGATAACCCCGCCCCTGGTATGGATATAATAGGCAAAAAACTAAAAAATCCCATTTTTGGGATTTTTTAAAACTTTTTTGGGAATTCCGGGATTTCTAATAAGAAAATTCGAAATTTTGATTTAATTTTGGATTTTAAGTAAAAAAATCTACCTAACTGTAAAATTTCATCAAAAAATATTCATAAATAAAATTTTTATTGCAATTAGAAAAATTTGTATCTTCGCAAAAACTGAATAAAAAACATTTTTTAATTTTTTTTTTTAAAAGTATTCCGCGAATTTTTTAATTTTCAAAAATTATATACAGTTTTGAAAAATAGACAAAATTACCTTTCCATTGATATATAACATGCCTACCTAATGTTTTTTAAGTGACAAATTAATTAGGGAAAACTCAACATCTTTTAGAAAATTTGCCTAGCACTATTATTTTCATCCATAAGGTTAACTCTTAAATTTGTTACATATATGGATGAAAATAATAGTGCTAGGTAAATTTTCTAAAAGATGTTGAGTTTTCCCTAATTAATTTGTCACTTAAAAAACATTAGGTAGGCATGTTATATATCAATGGAAAGGTAATTTTGTCTATTTTTCAAAACTGTATATAATTTTTGAAAATTAAAAAATTCGCGGAATACTTTTTTTAAAAAAAATTAAAAAATGTTTTTTATTCAGTTTTTGCGAAGATACAAATTTTTCAAATTGCAATAAAAATTTTATTTATGAATATTTTTTGATGAAATTTTACAGTTATGTAGATTTTTTTACTCAAAATCCAAAATTAAATAAAAATTTCGAATTTTCTTATTAGAAATCCCGGAATTCCCAAAAAAGTTTTAAAAAATCCCAAAAATGGGATTTTTTGGTTTTTTGCCTATTATATCCATACCAGGGGCGGGGTTATCGAAACCCGTTACAAAATGATTAAGAACTTATTGGGTCATATAAAACAGGTCACTATAATTTGATATCGACTATGCGATTTGAGAACTTTTGCTCAAAATTTAATTTTCCATAAAAAATAGGGTTTTTTTGGATGGACCTGGTCCCCTCGGTATCAAAAATTTTTAGGTTTTGTTTCATTTATCGTATTTTATGTAAAGTCAGCTTTCCAAAAAGTATAAATTCTATATACATCTTCTTAGAAACTTTTTAGATAACTTAAAAAGAAAAAGATACTTTTTTCCCAAAAAAATGACAAAAAATCGCCTTTTTTTAATTTTTTAAATTTAAATGCCTATAACTTTGGACTCAGTCATGATTTTTACATAATTCTTTCACTGCTTGGTATATAAACTTGTTGTTAAGCAAATAAAAAAAAATGGCGAAAATCGGAAATATTTGGACCTGCTATTATCAAAAAAACTAAAGTAAGGACGGTAAAAATTTTAAAATTTTAATATTCAAATGCGAATATCTCCTAAACTATAAGAGATAATTTACTGCTACGACGACATTTTTTATAGTGCTCGATGAGGAGATTCTATATACGAAATTTTTTTTAAATCGGAACTCAAATGAAGAAATAGGATCGTTTTAAAAATTTAACATAGCCGAGGTGTCCTAATTTGAGGACCCCCCGCCGGGCCCCTGGTTGGCCTATAAGGTCCAAATTCAAAACCTAAACTCGACAACACCTCCTCTTTGTGCATACCAAATTTCATTAAAATCGGATTAACCGTTTAGAAGTTACCGAATTATTTCCCTCTTTTTTTTTTCCTATACCACTGTGAGCCGGTTAAAATTTACTTAGTAATCATAATCATCGTAATAATTTGGTGCTATTCTTGAACCGATGTTGGTTCTGTAGTCGCTGCGACTTGTTTGCGGGGCTGGCGGCGAGACGATCGTACGCCGGCGGATATCTGTTGAGGAAAAATTTGAATCACTATTGTAATTATTATTATTATGATTTGGGGAATTTGGTTGATATTGATGTTGGGATGGATGTTGTTGGTTTTGTTGTTGCTGAGATTGATGATAATTTTGATTTGATTGGGTTAATTGAGGCTGAGTTTGAGATTGAAAAGATTGTGAATGTGCGGTAGAGGAGGAAGTAGAAGAAGAAGAAGGTGATTGATTTTTATATACAAATGAATCGGAAGATGATAATGAAGAAGTAGGAGAAGATGAATAAGCAGAAGAGTAGGAAGAGGAGGAGGAGGATGCTGAAGGTGAGTATATACTCTGATACGGACGGTTGTTATTGTTATTTTCATGATGTTGATGATAGTGGGTTGATTGATGCGGCGAAAGCGGTTTAAGCGTTGGATTTAAAGCATCATTAAGCGTAACGTCGTAATCATTTTCGTAGAGCTCATCCAATGTAGCTTTACTAGATGGTTGCGTTTCTGGTCGTGGTTGCGATACAGGCAAAGCACTACGTGGTGGCAGTGTGGTACGTGACCCAGAGTCACGTAACAATGGAGCACCATGTTCAAGAAGATGTACACCGGAGTTGGTAGAGAACATATCAATCATACTACTGTCAGTGGTATGAGATTCGTGTGATTTATGAGCGACGCCTACCGGTTGTAGACCTCTTGGTAAATATGGGCTGCCACCACGTGATGGTAAAAATGGTCGTTTGACTACACGTACCGAAGCTGGACGGCTGGTGGGTAAACTATTTTTACTGGCTACAGCAGGGGTATCATCTTCTGCTTCCTCTGCTATATCTGGATCGACTTCATCGCTATTGACTAATGCTTGAGCTGATGGGCTTCGAGAGCGACTTGGTATGCTGGGTATGGGCTTGCGTCTGCCGGCAACTGAAGCACCACCGCGACTCCTTATAGGTTTATGTTCTACCTCTGGTTCAACTTCTTCCGTGTCGACCTCTTCGGATGGTTCGGGTAGACGGGGTTTTTTGGCACCTTTGCGTGCACCGGGTCTGGTGCGCTTAGAAGGACGCTCATCATAATCGTCATCGACAAAGTCGACATCGTCATGTACAGGAGCACGACCGCGAGTGCGACCTGTTAAAGGATTTCTTCTGCGACTACTGCCACGTCGTGAGTAGCGTTCATCGGCATCATAATCTTCTTCCTCATCGACGGGCAGTGATTTTTTCTCTGTTACTGGTTTTCTAAGAGTTCTGGTAGGTTTGCGTCCCAAAATACCTCTTTTAGGTACAGGAACTTCTTCTTCTTCTTCGGTGGCTTCCTCAACAACACGTTTTTTGCTGTGGCCACGATGAGCACGAGTGTCATCGTAATCCTCTTCTTCATAGTATTCTTCATCCTCAGCATGATCGCCGGCAGGAGGAGCCGATGTAGTGGCTGTTCTCTGCACGGGATAACTGAATTTATTCTTGGCACTGACAGGTACTGGTCTAGCAATGCGAGGAGGAGCTCTGGGACGAGAATAAACTGAAGAAGGGGCTGCTTTAGGTGTTACAAATTCTTCCAATGGCTTAGGAGTTGTTTTGATTTTAGGAGGAGCATCTTCATCGGCAGCAGCTTCTTCCTGATCGGGTATTTGAGATTGAGGCTTTTCATAGTCATCTAAATCATCGGAATCACTGGCTGGTGATGCAGTTGTAGAACGTTTCTCATTAATACGTCTGCGACCGTTAGAACGACGTGGTGTTTCGACAGGTTCAACTGGCTCATCAGCGACAGCGGGTGCAGCTGCTTTACGACGACCCGTTAGGGGACGATCATCACTTAAACTACGCCTTTCATCGGCACTAGCACGGCCAGCAAAGGTTCCTGGCTTGCGACCATTTAATTTACGTTTATCAGCAGGTGTTGTTGCCTTACCGCGTGACTTGGGTTTCTCAAAACTGCGACGATCGGTATCGTAATCGTCTTCAGGTTCCGCTTCATCACGAACTCGATCACGACCATTGGAACGTCTTTTTAAAAGAAATAGGTAATAAATTAAATGTTTAAAGAATTGTTTAAGAAACTTTTCAATTACCTTGGTTTCTCATCGGCAAAAGAACGTTTCTCATCTTCATATTCCTCATCATACTCAGCTACCACTGGTTTACGATGACGTGGTCTCTGTTTACGTCTTCTATTGGCACGCTCCTCATAGTAATCCTCATCATATTCATCCTCTTCATAGTAGTAATCATCAATGGGTCTACGATTCGAGGGTCTTCTGAGTGGTCTTAAAGGTCTTACAGGACGTCGGCGTTGTGTTGGTGGTGGCTCTGTGGTTGTAGTCGTTGTTGAGGTGGTGGTAGTGGCCATATATAAGTCATCGTTTCTGAAATTTTACACAATATAGTTGTCATTCAAAATTGTCCGCAATCGCAACTTACCTATTCCAAAATTTCATTGAACCCTCACAATCGACATCGGATACAAAATGACAGATAAATGTTCTCTGATCAAAAGCTGTAAAGTTGGCGCATAAAAAGTCGTGACGTATGCCATAAACACAATGATGATAAACCTGGAATTTTTATAATAAATATTAAAATTTAGAATTTCGAAAATAATAACAAAATGTTTTCCATCTCGTGTGTTTGGTAATCATGTGAATAGTCAATTTCCATGTTACTACATGTTATTCCATTGTTTCCAAAACTCTAAGCGTTATTTCTAGGTCATGATCAAGTCAAATTAAAGATTTAAGTACTCGCAAGTGTATTCAAAGTTAAAATTTCAAATAAAATATTATCATTATTCATTTTGAAACTAATTGAAAATGTTACGTTTGCATGTTTGGCAGTTATTAAGGAATTTATTAAACTACTAGCTATACCCAGTGTGCTTCGCTACCCTCATCGTAATGGAATAAAATAAATATCATTATTGTAAATGTATATATATTTGCAATATCAAAAATTCCCCTTTTAGAGAACTCTTTAAGTTTGATTTTATGATTCTAGTCTCAATATTACAGAAAATTAAAAAAAACAGTTGAAGAACGAAAAAGTACCAGACAGTGCCTTTTTATATATTTTCATTAAATCAGGATGACGCATGTTTAATTTTCAACCAGAAACCAAAAAAATCGCATAAAGATTTTTATACAATCAGGAAGCTACATGTCCAATTTTATGTTTTTAGGTTAAATATTATAGAAAATTCGAAAAGTATTAGTAAAAGAACAAAAAAGTACCAGAGCATCCTTTTTCAATTTTCGTTCAATTGGGATACTGCGTGTTTAATTTTATGTTTATATATTCAATATTTTAGAAAGCTCTAAAAGTACCAGTACCAGTGAAGTACGAAAGAGTACCAAAAAACCTATTTTATTTAATTTCATGTTCATAAGTTCAATATTATAGAAAATTCAAAAAGTACCAGAAAATATTCCAGTTTAAATTTTCATTCACTCAAGTCCCTGATTGCTTTTATAGATTCTAATTAACTCCGGGCTCCACATGCTTAATTTCATGTTTCTAGGATCAATATTATAAAAAACACAAAAAGTACCTTTTGAAGAACGAAAAAGTACCAAAAAGTGCCCTTTTATAGATTCTCATTTACTCCGTGCTCTATATGCTTAATTTCATGTTTCTAGGTTAAATTTTATAGAAAACTCAAAAAGTACCAGTCGAAGGACGAAAAAGTACCAAAAAGTCCCCTTTCATAGATTCTCATTTACTCCGGGCTCTACATGCTAAATTTCACGTTTCTAGGTTCCATATTATACAAAAATCCAAAAAGTACCTTTTGAAGAACTAAAAAGTACCAAAAGGTCCCTTTTTATAGGTTCTCACTTAATCCAGGCTCTACATAGTTATTTTCATGTTTCTAGGTTCAATATTATAGGAAATTCAAAAAGTACCTTTTGAAGAACGAAACAGTACCAAAAAGTCCCGTTTTATAGATTCTGATTTACTCCGGGCTCTACATGCTTAATTTCATGTTTCTAGGTTAAATTTTATAGAAAACTCAAAAAGTACCAGTCAAAGGACGAAACAGTACCAAAAAGTCCCCTTTTATAGATTCTCATTTACTCCGGGCTCTACATGCTTAATTTCATGTTTCTAGGTTAAATTTTAAAGAAAACTCAAAAGGTACCAGTCGAAGGACGAAAAAGTACCAAAAAGTCCCCTTTTATAGATTCTCATTTACTCCGGGCTCTACATGCTTAATTTCATGTTTCTAGGTTAAATTTTATAGAAAACTCAAAAAGTACCAGTCGAAGGACGAAAAAGTACCAAAAAGTCCCCTTTTATAGATTCTCATTTACTCCGGTCTCTACATGTTTAATTTCATGTTTCTAGGTTCAATATTATAGAAAATTCAAAAAGTACCTTTTGAAGAACGAAAAAGTACCAAAAAGTCCCATTTTATAGATTCTCATTTACTCCGAGCTCCACATGCTTAATTTCATGTTTCTAGGTTTGATTTTAAAGAAAACTCAAAAAAGTACCTGTGTAGAACGAAAAAGTAGCGAAAAGTCCCTTTATTATTAATTTCATGTTTCTATTTAAATATCATAGAAAACTCAAAAAGGACCAGTTGGAGAATGAAAAGTACCAAAAAATATCACTTGGTACCGGGGTTCCAAATAACACCCCATTAGGATATTTAGTGTTTCTAAATTTAAAAATTTTATCTAAATTGGATCATTGTGGTTGAATAAAATCAAATTTCCCGTTTTTACCCCTTTTGGTACTTTTTTCCTCCCCATTAACGAAATAAAAATTCTATTCCAAAAAGTTGCAACATCGTAGTGGGAGCCCGTTATTATGTATTCATATGTATAAGTTAATAAACCAAAAACAATGTTTTATGAAAAAAGTACCAAAAATAGGTACAATTTTAACCCCTTAAACGTCCGAATATCCAAAAAGTACTAAATTCATATTTTTATTTTTTCGTTAAGTTATGAAGGAGTCAAAAATATTTTTTGAATGTGCACTGGTTTAAAAGATACATGGGGTGCGAAAAAAGTACCAAAATACAGTTTTTACCCGTTTATTCCCTAAAGGGGCCGAATTTTAAAAAAGTACCAGACACCTGTCCGTTTATTTTTTAAATGAACGTCGATAAGCTTTAAACTGTTTTTGTATCTTTTCTAGTTTAGGAGATATAAGGTTACCGAATTTACCCGTTTTTACCCTTTTTTACCCCCTAAACATTCGAATTTCCAAAAATCCCGTCTTAGTGGATCTATTTGGCGGGAGACCAACCTCCTGTCCAAATTTCAGCTCTTTAGCTTCAACCGTTTAGGCTGTGAATCAGTCAGTCAGTCAGTCAGTAACGTTAGAATTTTATATATATAGATTACTTACCTGACATTTATATTCTATGGAGGCATAGAAACCATCATGCAAACCATCACATTTAAAGTGGATCTCATCATCGGGTGGTGTTGTTGATAAAAATGGATAACTTGATAGATTATAACTGAAAATACGAAAATTTTAAATTAGACATAGATTTATCATAATTCAATTGTGGTTAAGTAGTTACCCTCTCAATTCACGCGGTAAATTTGGATCCCAGATATAATCGATTTGTGGTATACCAGTCAATTTAGAGTCTTTCGTGGTGGTATTGGTGGCAGCATGTTCGTGCTGAAATTAGAAAATCCATTATAGAAATTAGTGTGTATTAAAATAATTAAAGTTTTAAATAATATGTAAATATTATTGTCTATTTCCATAGGTATATATGAACTCTTTAAGACCTAAACAAAATCGTTTTTTCAAGCAGCTGACTCAAAAAGCTTTCTGAATGAAAATTTTCTAAAATTTAGCCAGATTCTTAACATTCTTAAAGGAAACTCTCTATCACTAACCTACGAAGTTCTACTTCAGAAAGCTCTCTATTTGTAGTTTAAAAAGAGAGAAAGCTTCTTAAACTACTAATATTTATATTCAGCTTAGAAAGTTTTTTTATTAAATATATCCATTAGAAGCGTTTCTTTAACTTAAACATTCTTTATCACTCACTTTTAAAGAAAAGTTTGTATTGCTAACTAAAGCTTTTGAAAAGCTTTAATGATGGAATTAATCTAAAGGACTATTATATGAAGCTATTCTGAAAGATAATATGTATCGCTAATTTAAGCTTCCCTAAACGAATAGCACAGAAACATTTACAATAAAAAAAGCTATAGAGTTTTAATAAGGAAAAAAGCTTTTCTTAATGAAAGCTTCTATCTATTATTTAAAAGGCTTTTTTAAGCGAAAAGCATTACTTCTATCACTAGTTTTATATCAAGAAGTAATCTTAAAATAAGTTTTCTATCTCTGTAAGCTTTCAGAGCGAGAAAGCTTTTCAGTGTCAGCTTTCCTAAAGAAAGAACAAAAACATTTTTTTTAATAAACATTTACAATAGAATAACCTGTACTAGCAGTTCGGAAAACTTTTTCGAAAAAAGCTCAATCATAAGCTAAAGAAGCTTTCCCTAATATCAAAAGTAGTTATTGATATAAACACACAGAAACAAGGATATTGAATTAAAGTTAATTGAGTCCAATGCTATAGAAGGCTTTTATTGCTTGTGAACTTAATTGGGTCAACGATAGTAAAGGTCCGATAATGATATTCCATGATAAACACTGGCATTCGGTTTTTTTGCTTTTCAGCAAATCAGTACAGAGTAATTTGCAAAAGCTTTTTGGCTTAAGGTTAAAAGAAAGTCCAAGAAAGAAGAAAAGCTTCGTCATGCATTTCTATCTATCGTTCTTAATGAAAAAACCCTTTAGAAATTTTTAACTAAAAATTTCCAAAATTCTTGCAATAGAATTTCTAATAACAAAAACGAAAAAAGTTCTCACGTAATCTCGATAAACAAATAATTCAATTTTAAAATAATTTACCACACCCCCCCCCCCCCATTCAACTAAAGTCAATGACTTTAAAAATTAAACAAATAAAAAAAATCTAAAACTATTAAAAACGCACAATACGTGTGAGGGATTATTAATGAATTTTACTTTCGCCTCAAAAAAAAAAAACAAATTAACGTTAACCTTTTTGAAAAATAAAACACACAAAAAGCCAAAAAAGGTTATGTGTGTAAGTGGAACAAATACATTGAAAATAATTAAAGTTTGATCAAAAAAAAATTTTATGTTAAAAAACAAACCAAAACATACATCACTTTAGAATTAACATTTAGCTAAAACACTTTTAATTTCAAATGGTTTAAAATTGTTACAATTCGACATTCTTTTTTGTGAATAAGAATATACGCTCTTTTACCACTGCCCACTTACCTTTTCTTCCTTTGCCTCAGCCGCCGGTTCACCTTCACCTTCCGCTGTTGCAGCAGCTGCATCTGCATTTGATGATGGTGATGTCGATATTGTTTTTGGTGTAGTGGCAATGGAAACTTTTTTAAATGGTGCTACAGCGTCAACATTGACTATGACTAAAACTAAAAAAGCTGCAAAACAAACAAAATGTTAAGAAACATTAATTATAACAACGACAAGTGGTAGCAATGATCAGTAAATAGAGGTTTTTGAAAAAGTTTAAATAATGATGAAAAACGCTTAATAAAAAGGTTGTTGATAATAACTTGTGATGTTGAAGTTTTTAAAACATGATATTGAACTTGACTTGTAACTACAAGCGTTAATAAATTGTTTTTTTAGTGCTGCTGCTATTAACTTTATTTTTTTTTTAATTTAACTCAAGGTCATTTAATTAAGTATTTGATAATCGTTGTTTGTGAACAACCCCCTCGAAACAGCTCAAAATACAATTTTGAACTAAACTAGACCTGAACTAGAACTTAACTAGAACTGTACTAGAACTGAACTTGAACTGAACTAGAACTGAACTAAAACTGAACTAGAATTGAACTAGAACTGAACTAGAACTGAACTAGAACTGAACTAGAACTGAACTAGAACTGAACTAGAACTGAACTAGAACTGAACTAGAACTGAACTAGAACTGAACTAGAACTAGAACTGAACTAGAACTAACTAGAACTGAACTAGAACTGAACTAGAACTGAACTAGAACTGAACTAGAACTGAACTAGAACTAGAACTGAACTAGAACTGAACTAGAACTGAACTAGAACTGAACTGAACTAGAACTGAACTAGAACTGAACTAGAACTGAACTAGAACTGAACTAGAACTGAACTAGAACTGAACTAGAACTGAACTAGAACTGAACTAGAACTGAACTAGAACTGAACTAGAACTGAACTAGAACTGAACTAGAACTGAACTAGAACTGAACTAGAACTGAACTAGAACTGAACTAGAACTGAACTAGAACTGAACTAGAACTGAACTAGAACTGAACTAGAACTGAACTAGAACTGAACTAGAACTGAACTAGAACTGAACTAGAACTGAACTAGAACTGAACTAGAACTGAACTAGAACTGAACTAGAACTGAACTAGAACTGAACTAGAACTGAACTAGAACTGAACTAGAACTGAACTAGAACTGAACTAGAACTGAACTAGAACTGAACTAGAACTGAACTAGAACTGAACTAGAACTGAACTAGAACTGAACTAGAACTGAACTAGAACTGAACTAGAACTGAACTAGAACTGAACTAGAACTGAACTAGAACTGAACTAGAACTGAACTAGAACTGAACTAGAACTGAACTAGAACTGAACTAGAACTGAACTAGAACTGAACTAGAACTGAACTAGACTGACTAGAACTGAACTAGAACTGAACTAGAACTAAACTAGAACTGAACTAGAACTGAACTAGAACTGAACTAGAACTTAACTAGAACTGAACTAGGACTGAACTAGAACTGAACGAGAACTGAACTAGAACTATACTAGAACTTAATTAAGTAGTCAGAGGTTATAAGGAATTTTATAAATGTTTATAATTTTAAGATCGGTTCATAATTTTGTGAAGCATTTAAAGGTCTCCTTTCAAAAAGTAATTGCTTATCATATAATCGGTGATAGAATACATTGTTAAATTCAGTTCCCAATAAGTGACTTTAAATTCTGCAAATTCAATCACTTCAATATCTTACCTGCAGTTATTAACATCCATCGTTTAACATTCTTCATTGTTGACAATCCCTTCTATTCAAATTAAATAATTCACGGAAACCTGCAAAGACAATAACAAGAAGAATAAATTATTAACAAAAAAAGTCTATAAAATCATTTAACTCTTATGGCTAAGTGATACATTTGTTGTTTTTATTGATCAATTATTTTCTGAGGTTAAATATAAATTTTTAATTTTATGAGTACTAACGGTACTAGGAAGACACCCACGTTCAAAATAAAAATACAAAAATTATAAAAACAATCAACATCAACTGTAATTATGGCCATTACGTTATTGGCCAGGCAAAAACTTAAGCAAACATAAAACAATTCTTAAAAAGTCAATGATCTTTAAATTATAAAAAACGATTTCTGTGTTGGGTAGTGTCGAAAAACGTAGTTTCTTTGTTTATTTTTTGTAATTTTTCCACAAAATTAAATATTGGACTTGATGATTAACCCATTGAAGTTATGACAGCAAAATTATTAAAAATATTTCACTAACTAGACTTTAGACTAAAATATAGATTTAACTATATATAGTCTAAACTATAGACTAGACTATAGACTAGACTATAGACTAGACTATAGACTAGACTATAGACTAGACTATAGACTAGACTATAGACTAGACTATAGACTAGACTATAGACTAGACTATAGACTAGACTATAGACTAGACTATAGACTAGACTATAGACTAGACTATAGACTAGACTATAGACTAGACTATAGACTAGACTATAGACTAGACTATAGACTAGACTATAGACTAGACTATAGACTAGACTATAGACTAGACTATAGACTAGACTATAGACTAGACTATAGACTAGACTATAGACTAGACTATAGACTAGACTATAGACTAGACTATAGACTAGACTAGACTAGACTATAGACTAGACTATAGACTAGACTATAGACTAGACTATAGACTAGACTATAGACTAGACTATAGACTAGACTATAGACTAGACTATAGACTAGACTATAGACTAGACTATAGACTAGACTATAGACTAGACTATAGACTAGACTATAGACTAGACTATAGACTAGACTATAGACTAGACTATAGACTAGACTATAGACTAGACTATAGACTAGACTATAGACTAGACTATAGACTAGACTATAGACTAGACTATAGACTAGACTATAGACTAGACTATAGACTAGACTATAGACTAGACTATAGACTAGACTATAGACTAGACTATAGACTAGACTATAGACTAGACTATAGACTAGACTATAGACTAGACTATAGACTAGACTATAGACTAGACTATAGACTAGACTATAGACTAGACTATAGACTAGACTATAGACTAGACTATAGACTAGACTATAGACTAGACTATAGACTAGACTATAGACTAGACTATAGACTAGACTATAGACTAGACTATAGACTAGACTATAGACTAGACTATAGACTAGACTATAGACTAGACTATAGACTAGACTATAGACTAGACTATAGACTAGACTATAGACTAGACTATAGACTAGACTATAGACTAGACTATAGACTAGACTATAGACTAGACTATAGACTAGACTAGACTAGACTAGACTAGACTATAGACTAGACTATAGACTAGACTATAGACTAGACTATAGACTAGACTATAGACTAGACTATAGACTAGACTATAGACTAGACTATAGACTAGACTATAGACTAGACTATAGACTAGACTATAGACTAGACTATAGACTAGACTATAGACTAGACTATAGACTAGACTATAGACTAGACTATAGACTAGACTATAGACTAGACTATAGACTAGACTATAGACTAGACTATAGAACTAGACTATAGACTAGACTATAGACTAGACTATAGACTAGACTAGACTAGACTATAGACTAGACTATAGACTAGACTATAGACATAGACTATAGACTAGACTATAGACTAGACTAGACTATAGACTAGACTATAGACTAGACATATAAGACGTATAGATAGGACTAAGACTAGGACTATAGACTAGACTATAGACTAGGACCTATAGACTAGACTATAGACTAGACTATAGACTAGACTATAGACAGACTATAGACTAGACTATAGAACTAGACTAATAGACTAGACTATAGACTAGACTATAGACTAGACTAGACTATAGACTAGACTATAGACTAGACTAGACTATAGACTAGACTATAGACTAGACTATAGACTAGACTAGACTATAGACTAGACTATAGACTAGACTAGACTATAGACTAGACTAGACTATGACTAGACTAGACTATAGACTAGACTAGACTATAGACTAGACTAGACTATAGACTAGACTATAGACTAGACTATAGACTAGACTATAGACTAGACTATAGACTAGACTATAGACTAGACTATAGACTAGACTATAGACTAGACTATAGACTAGACTATAGACTAGACTATAGACTAGACTATAGACTAGACTATAGACTAGACTATAGACTAGACTATAGACTAGACTATAGACTAGACTATAGACTAGACTATAGACTAGACTATAGACTAGACTATAGACTAGACTATAGACTAGACTATAGACTAGACTATAGACTAGACTATAGACTAGACTATAGACTAGACTATAGACTAGACTATAGACTAGACTATAGACTAGACTATAGACTAGACTATAGACTAGACTATAGACTAGACTATAGACTAGACTATAGACTAGACTATAGACTAGACTATAGACTAGACTATAGACTAGACTATAGACTAGACTATAGACTAGACTATAGACTAGACTATAGACTAGACTATAGACTAGACTATAGACTAGACTATAGACTAGACTATAGACTAGACTATAGACTAGACTATAGACTAGACTATAGACTAGACTATAGACTAGACTATAGACTAGACTATAGACTAGACTATAGACTAGACTATAGACTAGACTATAGACTAGACTATAGACTAGACTATAGACTAGACTATAGACTAGACTATAGACTAGACTATAGACTAGACTATAGACTAGACTATAGACTAGACTATAGACTAGACTATAGACTAGACTATAGACTAGACTATAGACTAGACTATAGACTAGACTATAGACTAGACTATAGACTAGACTATAGACTAGACTATAGACTAGACTATAGACTAGACTATAGACTAGACTATAGACTAGACTATAGACTAGACTATAGACTAGACTATAGACTAGACTATAGACTAGACTATAGACTAGACTATAGACTAGACTATAGACTAGACTATAGACTAGACTATAGACTAGACTATAGACTAGACTATAGACTAGACTATAGACTAGACTATAGACTAGACTATAGACTAGACTATAGACTAGACTATAGACTAGACTATAGACTAGACTATAGACTAGACTAGACTAGACTATAGACTAGACTATAGACTAGACTATAGACTAGACTATAGACTAGACTATAGACTAGACTATAGACTAGACTATAGACTAGACTATAGACTAGACTATAGACTAGACTATAGACTAGACTAGACTATAGACTAGACTAGACTATAGACTAGACTATAGACTAGACTAGACTATAGACTAGACTATAGACTAGACTAGACTATAGACTAGACTATAGACTAGACTATAGACTAGACTATAGACTAGACTATAGACTAGACTATAGACTAGACTATAGACTAGACTATAGACTAGACTATAGACTAGACTATAGACTAGACTATAGACTAGACTATAGACTAGACTATAACTAGACTATAGACTAGACTATAGACTAGACTATAGACTAGACTATAGACTAGACTATAGACTAGACTATAGACTAGACTATAGACTAGACTATAGACTAGACTATAGACTAGACTATAGACTAGACTATAGACTAGACTATAGACTAGACTATAGACTAGACTATAGACTAGACTATAGACTAGACTATAGACTAGACTATAGACTAGACTATAGACTAGACTATAGACTAGACTATAGACTAGACTATAGACTAGACTATAGACTAGACTATAGACTAGACTATAGACTAGACTATAGACTAGATAGACTAGACTATAGACTAGACTATAGACTAGACTATAGACTAGACTATAGACTAGACTATAGACTAGACTATAGACTAGACTATAGACTAGACTATAGACTAGACTATAGACTAGACTATAGACTAGACTATAGACTAGACTATAGACTAGACTATAGACTAGACTATAGACTAGACTATAGACTAGACTATAGACTAGACTATAGACTAGACTATAGACTAGACTATAGACTAGACTATAGACTAGACTATAGACTAGACTATAGACTAGACTATAGACTAGACTATAGACTAGACTATAGACTAGACTATAGACTAGACTATAGACTAGACTATAGACTAGACTATAGACTAGACTATAGACTAGACTATAGACTAGACTATAGACTAGACTATAGACTAGACTATGACTAGACTATAGACTAGACTATAGACTAGACTATAGACTAGACTATAGACTAGACTATAGACTAGACTATAGACTAGACTATAGACTAGACTATAGACTAGACTATAGACTAGACTATAGACTAGACTATAGACTAGACTATAGACTAGACTATAGACTAGACTATAGACTAGACTATAGACTAGACTATAGACTAGACTATAGACTAGACTATAGACTAGACTATAGACTAGACTATAGACTAGACTATAGACTAGACTATAGACTAGACTATAGACTAGACTATAGACTAGACTATAGACTAGACTATAGACTAGACTATAGACTAGACTATAGACTAGACTATAGACTAGACTATAGACTAGACTATAGACTAGACTATAGACTAGACTATAGACTAGACTATAGACTAGACTATAGACTAGACTATAGACTAGACTATAGACTAGACTATAGACTAGACTATAGACTAGACTATAGACTAGACTATAGACTAGACTATAGACTAGACTATAGACTAGACTATAGACTAGACTATAGACTAGACTATAGACTAGACTAGACTAGACTATAGACTAGACTATAGACTAGACTATAGA